TGATGATACCTTACACATTTTCGTTTTCAATAGTTGATCAATCTGAATAGCTTTGTGTAGCGCCCCCGGCAATCCGAAACTGCAATCTTTATTGATTTTACATAAAAATTTCGGCAAATCTTCACTAATATAATGCCTGATTGACCATGTAACTTGTATGAGGCGCATTATTGTGCTCGACGCGTATTGTTTAAGTTCGAATTTAAATGTATACATGTAAAAGCGCCGTAGCGAGCGTTCATTGTTGTTAATTGTTTATTCTTTGTGTGTCACCTAGTAATGTATTCCCAAGCCCAAAAGCATAAGCACAAAATACTGACAATCAAAGAAAGAAGTGATATTTTGGATCGCATAGCTAGCAGCAGCTTAGCAAGTGAATACGGTGTAGGTCGATCTACAATAATTTATGACGGTGAAAAGAACCACAAAAAATGATTGTCGCCAAATTGTAGGAAAAAAATACGTATTTCCCGGCCTATATATGAAGGCTGTGATAGTTGGTAGAAAAAGCCGGACATTCTTTGAAGGTCTGTCAGTTCCAATGCTACTAGTGTTGTTAGTTTTAGTGTTTATCTACGAGGCCTGCAAGGTCTTCCACCATTATTACTACTACATATTACTAATACCGGGCAATAACTCGAATATATATATATATATATATATATACTAAGTGACATATAAATCCGAACACCCAGTTTAAATGGCTTTATTTTAATAAAATTTTGTATAAGTACTTAATGAAGCATAATAAGTAAATGATAAACATTTCAAAATGATTGCACTGCTTTAAAGCCCTTTGATCTTTAATAATGTATGGATGCACCCTGATGTGCTACGCATTCTCCAACGCGCCTAGGCATGCTTCTGATCAGGTGGTCAATGTCCTCCTGTGGTATCTCATTCCAGGCAACCACCAACTCCTCTCGAAGTGCTTCTAGAGTCTGAGGAGGACGTTGCAAATTGAGCAATCTCCTACCCATCATATCCCATGGTAACAATGTGACATCATTATGTTGAAAGAAGTCTATTGTGACTCTTGCAACATGTGGTCGGGCATTATCTTGTTGGAAAGTTGGATCTGCCAGGGTGTCAAGATAGGGTAAAAGATGGGGTTCTAGAATTTCGTGGATATAACGCTGCGCGTTCATGTTACCTCTGATGAAGATTAAAGGTGACCTGGAACCATAAGCTATAGCACCCCAAACCATAACTCCAACAGTGTGATTAACATGTCTTTCAACAAAAAACTGTGGATTCCTCCTTTCACCACGTCGCCTTCTTACCCTGGCACGACCATCGTGCATGCCTAAACAAAATCGAGACTTGTCACTAAAGACAATACTGTTCCATTCCTGATCCCAGAGTGACTGTTGTCTGCACCACTCAAGGCGATTACATCGGTGTTCTCGAGTTAAAGGGAGGACCCAGTGTGGCCGGTATGAAAACAATCCAAAACTTCTCATTCGTGGGTAAACACTTCGCATGCCAATAGGTCTTCCGTGTTCAAACCATTCATTTGCAATGGACCTGGTAGTGGAGAAACGGTCCCCTGTTGTTCTACGGCGGCGTCCAGTGCCCCTTGCTCTTTGCGTACGGCTTTTTTCACTTGTTATTTACAGTAAGATAAATACATTCACCAACTTTTATTAAAATAAAACCATTTAAACTGGGTGTTCGGATTTATATGTCACGTAGTATATATATATATTTTTTTGAGACGTGGTCATTGTCGTCTAGACCAGTTAGGTGAAAAATTAAAGCTTCCGCCTTTTGTTGGGTACTTCGACAAAAATTTAAGCAAAGAGGACTCTTTATACTTTTTTTATTCTCTCTAGCTTTCAATGGACTTTGCTATCATCATCAGGAGCTGCAATTACATTGATAACAGTAGCAACAATAATGTAAAATGAATTTAAATTGACTTAACTTACAGTAGTATGTGAGGATGTTGCTAATTGTTGTTTACGTTCAGGATGAGGGAAACACCCAGTAACATGGTGAAAGCTGGATAGATGGTACAATGGTCAAAATTATATAAAATACACACAACTGTGTGACAAGAACAAGGCCGGCCTGTCAAAGGGTTCATCTCACTCATTATTCCATGTCCACCATTTTGTGCAATCATCAAGTGGCTTCACGATGTAATGCTTTCATGTTCTGAAAATTTTTAATCTGTATTTAACTTGTTCTTGTCACACAGTTGCGTGTATTTTATATAATTTTGACCATTGTACCATCTATCCAGCTTTCACCATGTTACTGGGTGTTTCCTTCATCCTGAACGTAAACAACAATTAGCAACATCCTCACATACTACTGTAAGTTAAGTCAATTTAAATTCATTTTACATTATTGTTGCTACTGTTATCAATGTAATTGCAGCTCCTGATGATGATGGCAAAGTCCATTGAAAGCTAGAGAGAATAAAAAAAGTATAAAGAGTCCTCTTTGCTTAAATTTTTGTCGAAGTACCCAACAAAAGGCGGAAGCTTTATATATATATACAGGGTGACTTCGAAGTTGAGTCATTTATTTTAACAGTGAGTAGATCTGATCAAAAGAAATGTTTTTTTCCTTCAACATTTTTCTGGTAAAATTAAAGTAACAAAGTTATAGCCCTTTCGAAGTTTGAGTACCGCCCTGTCTCAATAATAATATTATGTGCTCGTGTTTGGCAACAACGGATATAATCCGCCTTATCGGTTCATCGCATCGGAAACAAAAAAGCGAAGAATTTGAAACGTTTATCACGATGTTTTTCGTCAGTCGGTAACGCGTGAGTGAATAGTGGTGTTTGTTGCGTGACTCAAACGAAATGTAAAATGGCACATGTTTACGAAAATGCTGAACTTGTGGACATGATTCTTATTTACGGGGGGGAGTCTTTACAAAATGCTGCCGCGGCATCACAGATTTGTGCGAATCGGTTTCCCAATCGAGTGCAACCAACCCCTCGTGCCTTTGTTAATGTAGTACAAAGGGCTCGTGAATCAGGTGACTTAAGACCTCACAGGGGAGGGCATGCCGGTGCTCCAAGACCGCTCGATCAAATACAGGGCCGCACTGAAATACTTGTCTGGAGGATACTTTATAAAACAAGGTAACATTTTTTTTTTATTTTTACACACATATTTTGGTTTATCTTCTTTCTACAATCATTATCTGAAAATTAATGACTCAACTTCAAAGTCACCCTGTATATGTGAGCGGTAGTCATTGCCAAAGCCAACGACCAGTTGGGCACAAAATACAATTAATTGTTAATTGGGAAACTGGCAAATTTTTTAGGCTTAAGTTGACTCTTTTGACGATAAAATCAAGCTTTCGGTATTCTCTCTCTCTCATCAGGATTCTGAAAACACAATTGTGATGCTAGCAAAGAAAACAGGATAGATTTAAATTGTCAGACAACTTACTCGTCGGTGAGGTTGCAGCCACAAGGTGTTTCAAAACGAACGTAGAGAAGATCGAGCTTGTAATCAGTATAAAAACAAAAGGACGGGGCTTGTTGAAAAACGACAGGTACCTTCGTTAAAAATATCAATCCACCCGAACAAATTAAAAAGTATTACACGTGAGAAGACATTTTGGTGAAACAATCGGAATGCAGTCTCTAACCTTCTACTTCCGCTAGACGTGGAGAGGGGGACGGCACGGAAAGATAAAGCGTCGACAGATGACAAGTGATTGACGCGACGGACCGTGGAACTGTAAACCTCCTTGTCCAACTTTGTGTATGAAGTATACGAGGGACGCTCGGTAAACCTCCACCCAAAATTACTAAAATGCTGAATTAACGTGTTTTGGAAAAAAGTGTGTAGTTCATATGAGTGTAAGAATGTGTGATATTGATACAACCTTGAAAAGATGGGTTATGTGAGTTTATATTAAAAATGTGAGTGAAAAAATGTATTCTAATTTTGTGAAGATGTTGGTTCAATTTGGATATGTAGCCGTTCTAGCTTTTCGCAATTCAACAGGTAGGAATAAATGACACTGAGCTGCTTAACATCAGCCTTTTTATTCATGCAATGATCTGTCATGAAAATGTGGGACATTTATAAAAATAAACGTTTTGAGAGTCTTTTTTCTTTATCAAGAACCTCAACACTGCCATAATTCATAGAGTGACCTGTGTTGTTAATATAAGATGCCAAAGCACATCTCTCTGGAAGTAGTCTGGCGTCACTTTTGTGTGAAGTTATCCTGCCTTTCAGCGACCTAGAAGTTTGGCCTATATAAACTAAATTACAGTTGTTGCAATTAATACGATAGACAGTGTTGGTTGAATCAAGCAACTGAACCTTATCTTTCATTTTGGACAACAAACTGTTGACTGTGAGCACTGATTTACAAGCAAAACGACAACTAAAGGAATTATACAGCCTGATCAATTTTGGTGTTAGTTCTTTGATGTATGGCAAAACAACATAATTAACTCTGGAAATAGGAGCAACCACTGTAGTGCTGTTGTTCTCATTAGTTGAAGAATTAATGGGTATCTGGTTGGACTGACCAGTGTTGTCATTTTCACTATTGTTATTCGTCATTGGCAAAAGACTTGGAGGAGAGCTGAACAAGATTCTGTTAACCAAATACTTAGGATAGCCATTGTTGATAAATAAGACTGAAAGCTTCCTTAAATTTGAAAGATGGAAAGTACTGTCAGAGATTTTTATAACCCCGTTCTTCATTTGTTTCACCAGGTTTATTTTTATTTTAAGTTCATGGTAAGACCTGAAGTTCAGGAACCTTCCGGAAGAAATTGGTTCTCTGTACCAGCCTGCCAGTAATATATTGTCACTGGTACGAATCAATCTTGAATCAAAAAAGGGAACAGAATGATTGTCATCTTCTTTTTCGATGGTGAACTGGATGTAGGGATCATAACTGTCAAAAACCTCAACAATATCATCCACCCTATCATAAGGAAGACAAACGATAATATCGTCCACATACTTTTTTATGAAAATTAGATTGTATGGCAATACTTGAATAACAACATCAAGCAGGTCATCCATTACATATTCCGCCAAAATTGGAGATAACACAGAGCCCATGGGGCAGCCAGGTGTTTTTGAAAACACTTTGTTATTAAAGGTAAAATAATTGTTCTGGAGTTAGGTTGCTGTGTTGGCAAATTTGATCCCAATATTTGTTGATGGATCTGATGCAAGCTTCTAAATACACATGGCTGAACAGTGAAACTACATCTAGACTCGCAATATATATATATATATATATATATATATATAAATATATATTCACGTGAGATAAGTCATCGCAACGATCATGTGCACCTGCAGCAATTCCTCTCAGGGGCAGGAGGAAGGTCAGTTTTTTCTCAGACGGGCTAACTTATGGCAAACATAATCCTTTACGAACTGATGACAGCGTTAAGTGGGATCTACAGAGTCAAATTACGTCAAAACAAAGTAATTGGGCCATTATTTATTAATGGGAATTTAAATGGAAACCCTATACTTGATGAGACTGAAATATATTTCCAGCAAGACGGAGCTCCTCTTCACTATGTTTTTCCGGTTCGGCAATGGCTAGACGACGAGTTTCCAGATAAATGTATAGGGCGAAGAAGGCCTATAGAATCGCCTGCGAGATCTCCTGATTTGACGCCATTAGACTTTTTACTATGGAGCCATTTGACATCTATTGTGTTTACTCCCCAACCTGAAAGTTTGGATGAACTTCGTCAACGCATCTTCGAAAGCTGCCATGATATCCCTCAACATGTTTTTGAAAATGTCCGAGAGGAATTTGAACATCGCCTATATCATTGTTTGGCCAATAACGGGCAACATTTTGAACACTTATTGAAATAAAAAGTGATATTTTTGTGTGTTTTTGTTTTCTATCTGGGGATTTCCAAATGCCTTTCAAACAAGCTATTTCACGATACCCCCTGTGATTTAAATCTTTCAAGGGGATGACCCTGGGGACAGATGGTGAAAGGGGGTGAAATAGTTTTTGGTTAAAAAGTTGTCCCTCTTGACAAATCTTTTGACGTGTCTTGGCGTTCTTTCTTTTAATCAGTGGTTTTTGTTAAATCCGTGGTGGTAGGTTTTCAAATGAACACCCTGTATAGAACATGCTTCTCAGGGAGGGCGAAATATTTTAACTGCGTAAACAAGTTTAAAGAAATTGCTTTACCTCAAAAATGAGAAATCTTATTTTTTCCAAATGGCAGTGTTTATTTTTCTTGACACCAACTAATTCAGCGTTAGAAAATAAGGGAAGTTTATTATTGCAAGCATTGATTAACGTATTTTACCTGAGAAGGGAAGTTTATCAATTTCAAATTACCAGTAGTAGGCTTTGAAAGAACTGGTGAAAATGAGAATTTCCTTCGCTCTCATGGAAAGCGACTATTGGCAACATTGCGCCTCCTATAATCCCTTATTTCAGCGGATAAAGCAAATTTCTGTTCCCCTTAACAAGCGCAGTGCACAGCATCCCCTTTTATTCACTTGCTGTTGCTAGCACAGAGAAGTCGGAGCGATTCCTAAAAACTGCAAGCGGCACATTTGGCGATTCTCTTTGATCTATGAGAACCAGGCACCGCTAACAACTTATAAATATTACACACAGGGAACGGAACGATAAAAGTTGTTACTTAGAATTCCTGCAGCGCAGGAAACGAGACTTCAAAGGACCAAGGAACAGCAGGAGTTGCAGGGGTTACATTCGACAAAGAATTACGTAGCTTTGCTGAATGGAAAATGTCGGCTGTTAAAAGTCTTACTTTACACTATTTTTTATTTTTACCTCCCATGCCAATTGGCGAGGAAGTATTGTAATCCCGAAAGATTTCGAAAATAAGATATGTTCAGTCGTTAAAGCCGGTCTCTCTGTCTGTGTGTCCGCTAATTTTTGACCCTATAACTCGAAAAGTACCACTTGGATTTATATGAGATTTTGTTACAAAAGAGAGTTTTCAGTGCAACAAAATAACAAATTGTTAAGCCTTCCGTTACGTCGTTTATGACAATGACAGCAAATAACGAATGTCGACGAGAAAAGAAATTTTGATGACCATTAAAGTAACTAAGGCCCGTATCGTCAGTCGTCCCTACAATTGTAGGGCGCGTTTATGGCCTCCTTGATTGTCATACTCCTTTCTCTCCTTCAAAAATTTCTAGATGACACTTGTCCCGTGTCAGCGTCAGCGCTCTCCTATTGTGAAGATATGTTTTCTTCTTAAATTGTAGGAAATTTCAGCCTGATAAAACATGATATAACTCAAAAGCAAGCACAATTTGATGCAAATAGATGTTTGTGACATAACCTCAAAATAGAGTTCTGACACGGAGAAGTAGAAAACTATGACAATCAAGGAGGCCATAAAGGCGCCCTACAATTGTAGGGACGACTGATGATACGGGCCTTAGTGTATAGTCATGACAAGTTGCTTTTTTTCGATTTTGACGTGATGCTAACCCCAAACTTTCAAAATCTTGTTAAATCTTTTGTAGTGGAGTTTCGATAATATTTCTGTCCAAACCGGTCAAGAAACGAATAGGTTTAGATCACAGAACCACAGGACAACTGACCACCAATGAAAGGCTACCTTGCCACATTGCATATATCACAAAAATCAGGACAATTCAGTTCATTTAGATCACTGCTTATTTCGTGCATTTAATCTTATCTGACTGTGATCTAAAACTTATATTTCTATTATATCTTAAGTAATACGTTTTTGTAACTTGAAATTATTGTAAGTAAACTTATCCAGCTTCATATTTTTTTTGAACATCATCTACCCATTCCTTTAGAAGATGTGCCTCTTGAGACAAGAAAAAGAATGTGGTTACAGAATGATGATTGCCCTGCACATTATGCTAGTGCAGTAAGGGGCTATCTTGATGAAACATTCGTTAGAAGATGGATTGGCCGGCTAGGACCAATTTTTAAAAGATGGAAAACCAGTTCGATCACTTGATGAAACGCGTTATCGAATCCGTCAAGCAGCACGCAAAATATCCGAGTTTGAGACGTTTAAAATGACATTTTTTAAGAAGATGCAGGTTGTGTATAAAAGTCGGTGGTAGACATTTTGAAAATCTGCTGTGAAAATAATAATAATGGTAATAATAATTTATTTCAGACAATTTTTACATCACAAGATCTTAATTTAATTTTCATTTAGTTATTTAAGACGTTAATAATGATTCCTAAATTCTTTAATTAATTTGAATGTTGTAAAAATCAAAGGAAATAAAGAATACAACCTAATGTTCTGTTCATTATTTTGATGCATACAACAATGAATAAGAAAGGATAATAGATAGCTGTTTTAGACGTTTACTAATATAAAAAGCTATTACAAAAGACAGCTGCACTTATTACTTTTTATTTGTAGCATTTCGCACTTCAATGACAAAAGTTAGGATTATCCAGTTTTCAGTAAAAAGAACCTACAAATGTTATACTATTTCTGAAAGAGCATTGAAACCAAATGTAATAACGTTCTTTTACCATACCGTGCTAGATTTCTATGTACTGAAAACTTGGTTGTCTCAACCAACTATTAATTTAGCCCCAGGAAAAAAATCCTAAGTTTCTTTTAAGACATAAAAGGCAAAAAGGAGCAAAAAGTAGTGATTTTTTGAAAAACTTAAAAGTGCAATATCTCGAAAACTTGAAGTCTCCTACAAGGTCATGTTGACTTTATCTGATTGACCTGAAGCCAATCTACCTCCCGGGTCACTCTGGTGTGTTATTTCTGGGACAACCTGTATATCATGACGAAACAAACCCTCCCCTATTCTTTGAAACTAACGGTGTTTACTTATTTGATAAGCGATAACGGAGGATTATCGCGGTACTGCGCAAAATCGAAAAAAGGAAGATTATAACGAATCAGCAAAACAAGAACGCTAATAACTCTCTAATGTTACTATGGTGCCCAATACGAAAAAGCTTTCGGGCAGACACTTCGTTTTTAGACACTTCTGAGAACCCTGCTGGTTTTCAGAAATTAATTCGTTTGGTTTCAAAATTGGGGCTTGGGCTTGTAGGCGGTGTAAATATTGCAACTTTGGTATTAACGAAAGATGTTTTATTATATGACGCTTCTGATCCTGGTAGTATTACTGAGGTTACGATTCAATTTGAGAAGATATTCTTTTTGACTTCGACAGTTGCCGTAGCGGAGGCGAGGTAAGCATAGGGCAATATAGGTGACGTCATTTTAATCTCTGTTACAAAATTTACAGAAATTGCGGGTAACCACGTCATAGGTTAATGCTAACGTTAACTTGATCACGCTATTTTGACCTTAGCGTTAGCTTATTCCGTATTATGACTGACCACCATGTTCCGTTTTCATCAAGCTGCTAATATGTCTGAACGGTTTCTAGGATTTTTGATTCACGACATTTCGATTGATGTGATCTTCAATCGTCAGCAGGTGAACTTGCGAACCTGATCCTTACGGGGCCTTATATTGTTTAATGACGTGGCCGATGATTGGTTGTGACGTGTCCCTCGTTTCGATCGGTGTGATCTGCTATTCCAGATTTTTCTCCCAGTTCCGTGTTGGATTTATGTACTTATATTCTTACTAAGAGTGGTCTTTTTGTTCCTTATATGTATATCTCTCCGCATTCAAATGGTACCTGGTACGCACAATGCTTGGTATTTCGATTTTTGTTCATAGGTTTTGTCTTTGTGAGGATACAGCTAAATATGGTAGAATTAGTGTTTGCTGGAGTTCATTCCGGGTATTTCTACTGTTTTTGCTATTGTTTTCTTTCAGAACTTTATTTATCATTCGCCTCCGGTAGACATTTCTTATTAAATCTTCTTTGATGTGGTTGCAACAGAAATTTGTGTATTGTCCTGTATGTGTTGGTTTTCTGTATACAGTAGTAAAATCTCATCGATAATGGAGTAACATCTGAGTCATCCAAATTATCATCAAATTTCAAGCAACAGCTATCAGTAATGTGACAATTCTTACCCGTACTAGACTAGGGTTGTCAAAGAGGGAGAAACAATTTTGATTATACGTTCAGAGTTCGAGATCCTTTGTCCTGTGCAAACGAATTCTTTCTTTGAGGATACCTTCTGGCTACACTACAGGATGATGCAGCCTAAAACCTAAAACAGAATAAACTGCGAAGGTACTTACGGAGGATATTAGTCTTTCATGGTTCCCGTTTCCATATAAAAAATCATTTCCATGTATGTATTACCGTTTCGGTCTACACTTAACTTTCAAAACTTACCAAGGGATACCCTACAAGGATGGGTGATGTTGGACTAAAACACGTTGCGTGTAAGGTATTAACAAAACTATTTTTTTTATTTGAATGGCCCATGAATGGTAATTTATATGGAGTTCACCGTGGGTCCACTGGCAACGGCTTTGCCGAGTGACACATATTCAAGGTGACAACTGTGTTAAATTTGAGGGTATTTTTGGATTGCGGTGTATTGGCTAATATCTGCTACTTCAGGTGGAAATGAATCTTGAAAAAGTCGTTTGGTATAAGTAGATTTTGGATGAACTGCGTCATTGATCCCCCTTTCTCGAAACTAATATTGGCGAGATGCGTTCGATATATTAGTGATAACCAATTTCCTTTGGTTCAATGATATAGACGTGAACCACATGTGTTTCGGCAAGAAGGCACCACTAACAATGGTCATCCTGCATGAACCCATTGAGGACAAGGTTATCTTTTGCAGTGGTATCGTGAATTGGCCACCAAGATTGTGCGATTTTCCTTGTGAGGTTTTCTGGAGTTTTAGGTCGTAGTAAATGGTTGAATTACGCCATCATTCAAGAAAAGTTCCAAATAAAAAAAGCTGTTTCGTTAATACTGCCGTGCT